TCTAACAAAATCTAATGTTTCAGACCTATTTTATTCAAAGGCTTACTTAAAATTCGCCAAATACAATGACTTTCTTATTAATACGTCTCCCTGACAAACTAATGATGCAGAAGTGTTTGTTTTGAGGTCCTCTACCATCGTGCATTCAAACCCCCAATGTGTGCAAACATCACCAAAAAATTGTTGTACTGTGTTATGATTGAACACAATTCTAATGGGAAAATAAATTCAAAGATCGAGGAAAAAACTGCAAGATATTCAAATGTTTTCAATTTACGGAAACTCAGCTGCGAAAAATATGGAGTTCTTTGAGTCTTCTACTGATACAACACTTTTACTTGGATTTTACTTTATATTTTATTTTTACTGATTGCGAAACGATTTTTTTCTCTCAAAATACCTTTTAGTTATAAATTCAAGGATTCTCTCAAAAATTGTTTACAAAATCTTCATAATAAAATTAGTATAAAAAACTAAACTAAATGGCACTCACTTAAAAAATGGTTTGCTGAAAAATTTGAACAATCTCTTTGGTAGTTATCTTTTTAAGAGTTATTACTTGTGAAATTATTCAATTCCGATAACACTTGTCACTTTTTTCTTCTCCAACACTCTTAGATAAGACCGAAAGTTTTTTGTACAGATAAGAGCGCACAAAAGTAAAAACTATTCAGTTGAACAATATCCGACCGACTGAAAAACTATGACAAAACGAAATCGGCACGAGTCAAGCAGGAGCAAGCACGACGAACTCAGCGAGCGCCAGATCACAACCTTTGTGTGTTCGATGTTTAATGTAGAGGCCGTAATTTCATTCGGCAAACGTAAATGGATACAATTACATCAAATCACTCGCACATACAATGAGTGTGCTGAAATGAAAAGTGTGTGCAAGCAAAAGTAAAAGGGCGTGGCTAACGTAGTGCTGAGTGTGCGGCCCCCTTTTTCAAACAAACCAAAATGGAGAGATGCCATTGGTTGTACGTTGTGTTCCTTCATATTTCATTATCGATTAAATGCATCTATAGCGATTGTATGATAAAATAATTGTGTTTCGATGTGCTTGCAATCGATTGCACCTGAATAAATATTTCAGTAATAACATTTCGCTGCTACTCGATTCAAGAATCGAGCATTTCATACGTTGCTGAGAAAAAATCCAATAAAAATAAAACAGAAAATTGTTTTTGGAATGATTCCTTTATTAGAATATTCTATGTCCAAATATAACATTTATATGTGGAATGTGTTCCTTTCTGACATGAATTCCAATTTCGTTTGGCAAACAAATGTTGTTCAGCCGACCAGCCCTTTCACCTCCTCTTTTTTTAGACCTGTTCGCTTGGAATTTTGATTTCATTTCATATTATCGATAATTTGATTACGATTTTCATGTTGTGTCATAATTAAATGAATGTATATATACTTTGTAAATCTATTTCAGCTAAATTTATAAATAAATGTGTGTGTGGTCGTCGATCAGACGGTCTCTAATAAATGTTTCAAATATGAATTATTTGTCTTTATTTATGGATGGGCACGAATATATAGAATTTACGTCTAGGTCTATATACTTTTATTAGTTTCAAACGGTGGACAATACTAATGGTCCACCGATTTTAAATAATCGAATCGAATAAAATATGAAGTCGAATTCAAGCAAATCGATTTTTGTGTGATGAAAACAATTTTTTCGTTTCATTCGAAGTGAAAGTTAATGTCAATGATGGCGTTTTCACGAGTACTTAAAGAAACATGAAATAAAATGGATTTGCTTTATAATTCGAGCGAGGTTCAAAGTCAACTAATTCATTTGCCATAACAAAAACGTACACTTTACATATATTGAAGAAATTAGTTACAAGCTCAGCAAATAGGGACATTTGATATGAATACTTTATGCTTGCTTCTTTACATACTTTTGAGATTACTTTGCAAATCTATCGCATTGTCAATATATATTAAGATCCGTTTAGCTTCTTTTTAGTTTAAGGCCAAACGAAGCTCAAGCTTTCCAATCACACCAAATGAAATGAAACATAAAAATTTCCGCTCCAAATTGCGAATTAACTAAAAAGATAGCAAAAATAGCAATTTTTATACACTTTTTGCCCATGGGCTTCCACATGAGTTCAGAAATAATAGGATTTTGCAATGAATATATTCATTATAATGTCTAAAATTTTGTTTTTCAAATTAAATTTTGCTAAATTAAATTAAATTATATCACAATAAAATGGTAACAATTGTATTGGCTAACGGCGAGGTTTTTAACCATTTTTGTTTTGCTGCGAAAGCACAAAAATAAAAATAGAAATGTGCAACCAAATGGAATATCTTTTAAATTTAGCATACATGTTTAAAGCATGAATATTTTGCGAGATGTCCATTAGATAGACTTCCCCAGATGAAATACAAGCAAATTTTCCATTAAATTTTATAGTAAAATCAAGTACATTAGCAAATGTGGTAACATTTTGAGTATGTTTGAGTATAGTTTGTTTTGTTCTTGTTGCTTATACATGAAGGAATATCGAATTATTCATAAGTATATTGGTTTTGTAATAACTTTCCAAATGGTTAATCTGTTGCTGAAATACTTTGTCTGCATACACATACATACATACACATTATACCTTAAAGGTTTTTTTTTCTTTATATTTTCTACCCGATTTGAACTTGCGCTGCCGTTTTTTTTTTTTGCGTTTGTGACACCATTGATTTAGGTCCATCGCATAAAATACAAAATCAAAATGTTTTTTTTATTGCTGATACACAAAGGCCAAAAATCGACCGTTGCTCTGCTTATTAAAGTTCACTATTTCCTACGCATACAAAAATCAGATCAGTCGTTTAATGTGGCTTCATCCGTTGCTCCTGAGGTGAATTTTCATTGAGGAAAACCCAGAGCAGCAGAGAGCAATGGTTCCCATGATCGATTCAAACTCTTGAACAAACTGCTACCATGAGCAGTTATATAGTCGTCGTCCGGTAACGTTGACATTGGGAATGGGCCCGTCTGCGGAAGAAAAAACAAAAACTTATATATTGGAACAAAAAGACAAGGATTCCTATGCGATTTGTCGAATAACGGGCTATTTTGACTCAACAGACTTTTTTATTGTGATGAAAATACTTACATTTTTGGTTTGCCACATTGACTCTAAAATTGATAAAAATCGTCGCATATCAGAGTTTGTGGCAAAGAAAATGACCATGTCGCCGGAAGAATCTCGCACTTCTTGACACGAAAACTCCTATGAAAGCAAAGTAAAAATTATTTATCGCTCGATTGAGTTGATAAATGAATCTTTCGTTTAACTCACCAGAATGCACCACCATTGATCGCTCTGTGTTGGTATTCGTACACTAACCATCTCCTTAAGTGAAGCACACGTTTTAATTTCCACGCCCGAATTTTTGCCATAAATACTGCTGATGCTCGAGAAACTCTTCTCTTCGCATGGCGCCGCTGGAGGTACTGCAGCTGCCCAGTGCATGGGTGAACTGCGACTGGAGGTCGTGAGTCTTGATGGAGTGCTCAAATTTGAGCTTACCTGCAAAATGATTTAGAGTTCAGATATTTTCATTCAATTTTGATTACATGGTGCAGTTATTGAAAGAAGAGGCGAACTCACGTCATTGAATGTTGCATCTGAAACAGTCGATATGCTCATTTTACGATCGGGTGTTGTGCAATCTTTGTATGGCCGCGTTATGGCTGGTGACATCACTCCCTTGGAATTCAATCGTCGTAACGGGGATGAAAAGTCCTCGCGAAGAGTGATCAAGTGGTTGGACGTGATGATCAATGTACAGCCAAGCGTTTTATGTCGCTCCTGATTCTCGTACAGTCCGCTAGCCGATTGCACCACTGAAATTAACCATTCTGAGGCAACGTATTCGTCTGGTGCGGCCAATTGTAGAATTCCTGTGTTTAGCATGATCTCGAAGCAATGTGGTCGTGGTGAGCAAACTGCTCGTCGAGCGCCCTTGCATTCACTCAATGCAATCACCATCGATGGTAGTTTCTTATTTGAATCCGCAAACATGTATAACACACCGGCTCTGTATGGAGGAGAATAATCGGATAAGTACGTGGATGATCAGGAGAATAAACTATTAAACAAGTGTCATATGGATAATTACTTCAACAGGAAATATCCGGCCAACCAAGGTTGATTCTGTTGATCCCCGGCAAGTGATAGACTTCGGTGCATCAGCGGCCCTTTAATATTTGGACCAAGTGGTTCGTCTTCATGACTCAACACGTTTGCCGGTACACTAACTACTGCATAGTAAATCCAGGCATCGTTCTAATCACACAAACAAAGATTCAAAGTAAAATTAGTTTCAATACAAAAATATTCGAGACAATTTTGGAACACAAATCTATATTATATTTTTGCGCTGAATTCAATATCGTTTCTGACACTTACCCTGGATGCTGAGCAATGTTCATTGACGAATTTCTGCAGCGGAGCCAAATGGTCGAACGTCAATTGGCCGATGGCTGGTAGTCCAGCGCCTGAACGACGAGCACACATTTCCAAACTGGAAACCAATCCATCTGCTGGGTAGGGACCACCAGCCAAAAGTACTTGCTGCATATCACGAGCACTATTGCTTAGCAGAACTGTGTTTCCATGCGGACCGATCTGTGTGATTGATTTAAATGTTCGAAATCATGAATGAAATGAAAATCTGAGTTTGACCATTACAAAATTGACAAAAAATTCTTTTATACGAACCAAAATGACGTCCAATTCGGTATAAGGCAATACAAATTTATTGCAAAGTCGGTTGCGTACTAAATCGGTCACGTACAATGTTCTGTCGGTTAAAAATACCAACACGGGCGTCATGAGTCCGTGTAAATTGTATCCCGTGTACAATTTAAAGACCTGAAAACCGGAACATATGGTGTATAAGTGAAAGATTTGTCTTATGGAGACAATCAAAATTGAAGCTCGGTTGTTATACCTTGATCAGTTTTTCCCTCTCGTCTCGCAAAATATGCAATTGATTGGTATCAAAGAAATCGGTTGAAACTTCGCCAACTCCAACGCCATATTCTTCGTCCTCTTTCACCTCGTCATCGATTTGATCCTCTTCGATGGCTTCACACGCTGTGTTTTCCGCGGCAGCAGCTGCGGCTGCAGCTGTGGCAGCAGCCATTTCTTGAGCAAGTTCCGCATTGAAATCATCCATTATGCTCTTCTGAATGACTTTGATCGGTTTCTTTGGCTTAACATACAGATTTCCAAACGGTTTTGGCTTCTCCTTGAATTTGGTCGACATCATTATGTTCTTTTTCACAGCGATATCGTTAATTTTCTTTTGTGTAACATTACGTAAAAATCGATTGATCAGCGACGATTTGGTCGATGGCGGACGTAAGAATTGATTTTGGCTGCGCTGTTGTGCGAATTTCAATTGTGCTGCAACAGCTTCTGCTTCACTTACTGCCGTCGAATAGTCCACAATCTCGATATCGTTCTCAGTGGTTTCGGCATCGGTTGTTGTTGTGGTTACCGTGAGTAAATCGTCAAATTCTTCCGACAGCAAAACCATTGGATTTTGATTGATATTTCGTTGGCCACAGAATAGATCCGGACTGAGATTTGAGCGATCAAAATTGGATGTGGATGCCTTGCGTCGACACGGTGATTCCAAGTGACGAGTTTTCTTTTTCGGCGAACTATCGATTTTCATTTTCGCCGAACTGTCGATTTTCATATTGGGTGAACTGGTGCTGGGTGATGGTGTTTTTTCGTAAAACTTTGGTACGTTGAATCGTTCGCGCTCTTGATTTGATGTGGTATTTGTCGATGTGGTCATTGTGCTGCTTGACATTATGGAATTTTTGTCGCTTGAATTCGAAATGATGCTGGACGTCATGCTCGAGTCACCGTCGTCGAATGGATTTTTGGCGCTTGGATTACTTTTATAGTAATCATACGATGAATCCCATGATCGCACCATTTGCTCGTCTTGCAATTTTTTTAATTGAGCCTGCAATTGCTCTTGCTGCATCTGTCGCTCGAGGAACAAACACTGCGTCGACGCTGATTTTGGTGAATTATTGGCGGAACTGGTTTTTGTGCTGCTGCCACTGCTACGGAATGACGAGAAAAGGCTGCCGATTTTCTGTTTCACCGACGCCGTTGAAAAGTTTAAAATCGATTTGCTTGGTTTTTGCGGTGTGACACAGTTGGAGCTGGAGTTGGGGAATTCGGGAATGTCTTGCATGGGATTTTGTTCAAAAAAGCCCGTATGCTCAAACACCGTGCTCTCACAATTCACAATGAATTTATTACGAAATTGGGTTGGTCGACATGGAGACGCCTCTTCAGCTTCAAAGTTCACTGTGTCATCGGCAATCGTCACATTCATCATATCATCGGCAGATGGGATTGGGAAGAGTGAGAGTTCGGGTTTGCGTTTTGATTGTGAACCTGGTGGAGTTTGAGCTGGCGATAGCTCTTGATCGGGCGTTAGCTTTAACTGCGTCTTCGTTTGTTCCGTCACAATTTTCATCGGTGAATCCATTTCCGGTACACATTCGTAAACATTGTGCAAATCTTCGCATCCCTCTGGAACGCCACGTTCTGGAATCGTTGAAAATATATTCTTCAACGATCCGAACAAATGATTTACATCCGGCAATTGATGTACGTTGAACTTTTTCACTTTTGTGCTCACATCATGCTCTAGAATCACCGAGGTATCGCGCATCGTTTTCTTTAAGCAACTACTTTTTGGTTTCAATTCTTTGCACCACACCGATTTCGGTTGATTCGGTTCCACTTCGTACATCGTTTCAATGCACGGCTCTGAGAAATAGCAGTTGTCCGTCATGTTTGGCGAACCGTTGTTGTTAATTTTATTACTCTCATTTTGACCGATGCAATCACATGAGCTCGATTTTGTCTTTGAGTAATCGATGCGTTTGCTGTCATTTCCATTTGCATTGTCGTTTGACTCGAGGCTTGAATTTGAATCGGAGCATTTGCAATGGTAAAATGCTCGCTCTTCGTTCGATGCGGCTTTTTTCATTTGCGGTTGGTGGGCTTTTTGAAGAGGCGGTGAAACATTTGTTTCTCTTGGCACAACGTATTCAAAAACGCCCGAATTATCGAATGGAATCATTCCATCTTCATGTTGGTCGTACACATCCACTTGTCCGTAGTCGAGTACATCTGAGCATGCATTGCGGTAGCAAGCATGGCCAATATTATCGCCATAATCTTCGCATTGACCTTGAGAGCACCATGAATTTCGGAGAAAGCGATACGGCATCTTCTTTGATCCACCTTTATACGTAACAAATCCGCGCTCGATGTGAATGTTATCGGTTTTGGTATTTTTCAATATATCCTCATGGAATGAAACACGCTTTTTAACACTGCCACCACCGCTGCTAGTCGAGTTAGTTCGTGGTTTTCTCACTTTTCGCCGAAAAACGATCGCATCCGTGTCGAATGTTGAGCATGTGCTGGTTTTCATTGCGTCGGGAATGTCATTATTCGCAGTGTCATCCGTGGGGAGTAGAAAATCCGAGCCCACATTCGAATTGTCAATGTCGCTTTTTGTCAATGCAATTTCATCGATATCCATGCAATGTTTTACATTTCGGCTAACTAATTCTGAATCGCTGGCCATTACGATATCGGGTAAAACCGATGCGTTTCCACTGACCTCATCAACGCCACTTGATCCTTGCTTATATCCACTGGGTGTCATGCCGTCGTAATCTAAACCGAAGTTTGACATAAATGACTCATTCATATCACTTGACATTGAGTCCATTAACTGTACACCGGAATCGCTGGGAGTTGAGTCATCCAATGCGCTAGCTACGCTGCTGGTCATCACCGTGGAATGTTTTTCATGTTTTTGACTTAAAACATTCACGGTTTCGTCTATGAATTTTGTTCCATTCACTACTTCATCCTTTGGATACTGCACGGCCGTATTTATGAGTGTATTGACTTCACCTTAAAAGAGAGAAAAAAGAAAAACAAGCGAAAAAAATGGCTTAAAAATAGCTGCTATTTGAAAATACAATGAAGAAAAAGTGAAAGTGTCGCCGCGCCTAAACAAATCCAAAAGGACATTAATCTCCATACAACGGCCTTTATGCATGCAACGCTCTTTGTTGTGTCTGCTATGCGTTCCATTGCACACACACGCATAGAAAATGCATAGTAATTGGGAAAATCAATAAATGCCAACTGGGAACACTTTCTATCGAACGATTGTAATTGAACTGAGTTCACAAGCAAAATTAAACGAGAGCAAAACGACCATCTCCAATCGGATTAATGTTATTTGGTTTGGATTTGTCGACTTATCGAGGAAAAACAAACAAAAGAAAAAAAATTGTTTGTTCTTCCCATATTGATTAAAACAGCCTCACAATGCACATATTCACATACCACTTTCATTCATGGCTTATTCTCACTCCTACTTTATAAAGAACAACTACAGAAATCACACCAGAAATTCACGATATTTTCTTTACTATGCTCGAATAACTAATGAACTAAGCGTTTTTCTTAAATTCAGGAAGTATTTTCACAAAAACTACGGATTTTTCCTCGCGATTTCCCTATGACACCAACATTTTCTGCGTGTTAAATATCACTTTTTCACACAATGCTTGAGAATGAAGTGAAAATTCACAGTACGCAAACTCGATATTTTTTTGAAGGAAGCATCCGTATTGACCGTCGGCACTCATATGTTGTGTGTGTTTCAATGTATAGAGACAGCTGAGCCCATACTCAGCCTAATAATAACATTGAAATTAAACAATTAACTTCATTGTTCAACCACATGAGTCACTAATTTAAAATGATTAAATTAATCCATACTTACATTTTGAATCCGATTTTTGTATTGTGTATTGTTTTGATTACTACTTCGTTGGATAGAAACGTCATGAGCTGTCAAGAGAGCAAGCAAAAGGTGGTTTTTCTCATACTTTGGCGCCATCTATCATCGAATGGCTGACATTAAAATTTAAAAGAAAAACGTTAGCCTGTGTGTTTAGTCTGTTTGAACGAAAGAATGAATGAAACAAACGTAGAATACAAGAAAAACAAATCTGATTTGCTTAATTCAATTGAATTTATTTGGTTCGATTTGTTTTGAGCTGACTTACATGAATCTAATGAATATAGAAGAAGGCAAATGAAACTCATTTATTAAATTTTATTTTCAAAAATGAACATTGCATAAGAACTGTTTTTTGCTTTTTTGTCTTGCAAATAACACTTAATTATAATGTTTCTTTATCCATATTCGACCAAATTTTAAAATAGTGGAACAATTTGTTTCTTTGGCATTAAAAAAACGCGAACATTGTATTTAAAAAAAATTACAAGAAACTGATCCATTGTTATTGTCTGAGAAGAATGTGCGGTGAATGCATAAAACTGAATCATGGCCCAACTGAATCGTTTGACAAGCAGAGATAATTGAAATATTTCGACTTGATTTTTCTTTGTCAATGCGAGAAATCATTCAGTTGCTTCTATCAACTCTTTTTAATATTACTAAAATTCGGCTCTTTGTCTAATTTATGATATGTTGATGCATAATTAAGTGAAGAGATGCTAATAAGAGAAGTGATCTACTGGTTCGGAAAAAGGAGGGGCGGTAACATTTGTTTTAGCTGAAAATTATGTGGAAAAGCTTATAAAAGTGTTCCGCATATCATTAAAATTGTTTTCTTTATTTTCGGTTACTCTTATATTTTTGTTAGTGTATTTAAAAGATGGATTCCGTTTCCAAGTTGAAGGTAAAATATACTGTAAACCGGTTGTCTAAACAACCAGACACGTTTTGTCTACCTAAAAAGTCTTACCTATCTATCAAATGTTGTATACATTCATTCAATGAAAACCGTTTTCAATTTTGTCGATAAAACTTCCGTCACATTTTCAATACTACAACATTCATCGTCGCTTGCCTTTGACACACTCGAAATACAATGCACTCTATTTTTATAGGTTAACTCATCGTGTTCACCGCAACTTTTCTTTTAAATGCCTTTGAAGAAGTTCAACTTCTCTCCACAGAGTGAGACAAAAAGTGAAAAGAAAATGAAAAATTATAATATCCTCTTTAGACATGTTTATCTTACATCTTTTTGCACTATAAATGTGCTTAATTTACAACGGAGCTAGATTCACTTGTTTGACGCGCAACATGTTATGAATTAAAACCAGTTTTATTCATTATTATCAAAAATAGTATAGTTTACTTTGCCTCAGTTGTTGTTCTTGTTGTTGTCGTTACCCATAAACAGCTTTCATTCAGAATATAATTGAGTTTTTCTTTTGGTGCAGGAAAGGTGAACTACACAGACAAAAAACAACCTTTTGTTTCTGTGCTTATCATTTTTCGAATGGATGCGCGCGCGCGTATGTGTGTGTGTCTTTTTTTCATACTCGTTAAAAAGTCCTGCAGACTGCATTCTATAATTTTTGTTGTTGTTGTTGCAATAATTGGTGAAATCGTGGGCTAGAGCCTTAAAAATTGTCATATTGAATCTATAGATGCATAGTAAATAACATTTCGCTCAAAACATTTCATTCCGCTTTACAAATTAATTGAAACTTGTGTGTAGTTGTTTTTGGTTCAGTCAGTGAGTTTGCTCCGCATCGCCGAAAAATCACGCTGATGATAGCTATGACGACCGTCGGGACATAAATTTATTCAGTATAAAAACGCTTGAAATGCTTAAAATTAATATTAAAGCTTTGGCTAGAATTTGATTTGCGTCAGCAATGCCCGCAAGAATTTCGTCCCGTTTTTTCAAACGCCACTAGAAATGGAGAAAATGTGGGAAGGAAAGAAAGAGAAAAAAAAACAGTGTAGTTTAAAAAAATGCAGAGCTGTTTACCTTTTGGTGTTGGTATAGTGTGCAAAAAAAAATATGGAAACCGGGCAGCTTACCTGATATAAATTGTCTTCGCCGGGTGGATCAAGGCATTCAAATTCGCAACAATGTTCACCAACACGGAAATTCTTACAAAACTACAACGAAACAACAATATTCCAACCAGAAAAATGCAAATTAATTCCGTTTGATGTTCGAAGTAGAGAGGGAAAACAGACATGCACAGAGAGGGACAGAGAGTTGTATACAAGCGTACATGAGTTTGCACAGAGATTGGAATTGATTGAAATGGCGATTTAACAATCTATCCTGTTTGAATCCGAAATCTAAATCCATTCCGTTTAGACCGTACGTACAAAAATAGCCCGCTCTTATCATCATTTATCACGTATGCATGCATTGGGAATTCGTTCGCGTTTTTATTGAAATGACCTTAACAAATTGGAGTGGAATCAATTCGTGAATGTTTCTCATTTGCACCGACACCATCATTAAGCTATTTAATGCGCATTTTATATGCTCTGTACGTTCACCATACAGTCATGTTGATATAAGACTGTAATAATTCATTCGATTTTTTTTGCTTCGTCAGTTTGTGTGTGTATGTCCAGCCAATGGCTGGTAGCCTCATTCAGTTTAGCATATACTTGCAGGTTTACAGAGTGCAACATATGCAACGTCGACAAAGAGGATTCCAAGGATTAAAATCGATTCAAATAGCGACTGTGTTAACATGGAAACGGAATGCGATTCAATTTGCATGAAAGGAAATAGGAAACGACTCAAGAGGATTTGGACAATTGACGACGTACACGAAAAAATACCACTTCTCACTCTTCCCGTGTCGCAACCATCCTATATTGAGTGTATGATGTTGATAATGATGTTGAAAACTAAACTGTGGTCATGTGTTAAATAGGGAATGATGTGCGGCGCTTATTGTTCCAACATAAATCTCAATTGAATTTGATTATGTTGTACGCGCTTTAATTTTGGAATAATGACCGTAGCATTTCAAGCTCACTCGAAAGCTGGGTCGATGTTGTATCTATTAACGTCAATATTCCAAGCGCGCAAAAAAACACCAATGCTACTGCTGCTGATGCGGTTACTACACTGCAGACGATATCCGCGCTGTGCAGTACGATGTGTTTTATTGAATTTTTTTTTTTGGATGACGACATTTCATGTGTTCAAGCTACACAACACACACATACAATAATCTATGTCACATTTTAATACTATTAAACCCGTTTTTATTGCTTCTGGTATTTACGTTTGATTAGCGTCATTTTTGCGAAAGCTTTTCACAGCTGCACAATAAAAACTACGATTTATTCACACTTTTGAGGGAAAAAATGATGAAAATGCGCCTGGATTTTGGTTTCGCACTAATTTATTAAATGCCATGCAATTGTCGAAACGATGTCAAGTGCAGCTTAATTTCACTATATTTTCATTTGAATTGGTTCCCCCTTCACAATTTGTTATTGCCTGTCTGTGTGCGAGTTTGTTCTCAGTTTATGTCGGTAGCTCGAGAATGTTTCGTTTAAAATTCCGTTAAAATGTATCACACTTCAAATTGTTTACTTATCGAATTAAATAAGGGAATTATGAGTTCACTTACATAAGGTGGATCGCAATAAATGGCCTTACACCAAAGCGGCTCCGAATGGTAACAAACACATAAGCTACAAACGCCTGGGCCAGGAACATACAACAGACCATGCTGTACGGAATTCCCTTGGAAATCAGTGCATTCCTCCTCCAAACCATCTGGAAATGGAATTTTTAATTTCATTTCAACGATTAATTAAAATTGCTTATGCAATTCGAACGAACAGAAAAAAACGAAACAAAGTGAAACGTTTCAGAAAAACCGTCATGCAAAAACGTTTCAGCGCGAAAAATATTGTGGTAAAAAAACGTGGTTTGACTGAAACAGAGAGAATAAATCATAATGCAAAAGATCTGCAATCCGTGAACTTGAGATTAAGTCCTTGAGAGGGTGTTTTTTTTATTATTGCCGAATGACTGTAGTTTTTTGTTTCTTTTTGTTTTGTTTGCCGAATCGTTTAACTCTGAAGGACGTGATATCGCATGTATATGCAAGCACAAGCACATAACGAATTACGCGACAAAAAAGTATATCGAACCAAATGAAATGATGGATTTTGCCAATTTTTTCGTTTCCTTTCGCTCTTTTTTCGGTTTTGATGCTGCCAAACGAAAGAGAGATGGGTTTCGACTTATGCAAAATAAAAAAATAAGATGAACGTTCACTGTTGGGTGATTACATAATCTTAGTTTAATGGCAACGAAATGATAATTTTGTTACGGTTCAAGTGGAATGTGTTGAATCAATTTTGGACCAAATCCAATCAGGATGATGTTGCAACTACTGGCGTTTTTTGTCAATGTGTGTCGTACTTAAACTAAGATGCCTGAATGCCCCGGAGTGGTGGTGGTGGTGAAGAAATAATGCTGTGTGTGCAAATTTTGTCTCTAAGATGGATTGACATAATCTAAAATAGGTTTTTCATTTTATTGCATGCACCGTACGATTCTTGTTTTTTTTCGGAATTTATCAACCAAATTTCGTGTCATGTCATAATTTGTTGTGTGTGAGTGTGGATTGATTGAAAAACTAAAACGAAACATCAAATGAGAGTTTTTCTTTCTTTCGACAAAAAAAGGAGAAAGTTGATGGAAATTTGATTGAATGTTTATGGGGCTTTACGAGAGCCTACCTTTGGTACGCCATTCCGCAGTGTCTAGAATTGAATGGAAAGAAAAAGAAGAGAAAAACAAAATAGTAGAAGAAGAAGAACAATTCGAAAATCGGGAACACAGGAGAAAAAAAAAACGCGAACCACAGCAATATTTCATGGTAAAACCATCTATTCAAAATTGCTAATTGGAATGCGGAGAGCGAGAACGATGGCGAGAGTTCATCACAACGAACAAGTTTCAAATTTCGGCCGGAAATTGAATTGTTAGATATTTATCTTGTTGTTGTTACTGGTGCTGCTGGTGCTAGTGCTGGTACTCTAATGCTGTTATATTCAGTTTTTGTTGCTTTAACTTTTGTAAAATTCCAGCAATTTTAAGCGAGTCTGCTTATCGTTATTGTGGGTTGTTGGACTGTTGGTATGGAATTTTCCCATGAAAGTCTTGAAAATTTCCACATTCCATATAAGCCCCACATAGACTTAGTTATGCAAAGCGTTGCAAATTGAAATAAACAGTGTGTGTGTGTGTGCGCCTGACTCTTCCACAATAATAAATTTTTGAAATACCGAAAATGTTTTGTGTGTCTGTGCATGGAGTGACGTATGACATATACATATGTGTGTTGATGTGTGCGTACAGTCAGTACTGCAATGCAAATATTTGGCACACACATAATACAGACAATAGGCAAGTTCCTGCGGCACATCACCTAATTCTCAATCGAAACGATGCCATGCGATGCATGAATATACCGCATCGATGGTATTTGAAAATGTTTGATGCACTTTTTGTACACAATAACACTGTGTTTACACTTATAGATTCACTATATATATATGTATCTTGTTCACAATGCCAAATCGTGCTAAATAAAATCGGGCAAAGTCAGCAGCTAAAATTTGGTATACGAACTGAAGTGACGCTCACAATTGCGGTTAATTAAACATTCACATCAGAGTCAATTCGATTTTTCCAGTCTTTTGCATCGAAAGCAAGCAGAAATCCGAACTTACTGAATTTCCTGCATATGTGTGGATTACGGAATATACAAATTTAGCTAGGATGTGACACTTTAGCAAGGATAAAAAAAAGACACAAACAAAAAACAAAAATCAAGTATGCTCTTCACAAAACAGCAACATCTACGGCGAAGCATTTTAAAAATATTATTTTTGTCTTCTGTCTCCTGTTCCATTATGAAAAGTAAATATTGTAAAATAGAATATATATTTTTTCTCATTTTATTCTGTTACTATGGTCATTAGATTCTGGTATTAAATGCTGTGAGCCAGCAACGAGAGAGTGGAATGTAAATATTTTTTCTCACCGACAACTCCCAGCAGAATAGTCAACAGCAGTGGAATCACGAACTTGATCCTTTTATGCAAGTATTTCTTCATGATGTTTGCGCGAGCTTCGTTTGGCTGGCTGGCTATATGGCTGGCTGTTGATTTTTTGGTCACTTGTGTAGTGCACTTTTCAGGCTTGTGTCTCTGGAACTCAGAATTTATGGATGTATGTGTGTGTGTGAAGAGCGTACGCTTTCAAAAATTCATCGAATGAAGTGAGTACGTGTTATCTCGCACAATATATTCGCTGGAGGCATCCGTGATGAAAAACCATCAATTTTTATATATAATTCTCTCTCTAGCTGCGTCGTTTAAATGCTTTTCTCGTGTTTTGTCCTTTATTTTGATTAAAACTTTGTGTCAATTACTGATTAAACGACGACAACGTCTCTGCATGTATGATTGGCGTTTTTGTGTGTATGTATGTGTGTTGCTATATTGTTGAGTGTTTTTTCAACATTTGTGATTATTAAAGAGTTCATTTTTCCCTCGTGTGATTCACATCGTTCGAAAAAACGCTGCTTTAATCTTTGTTATTGTACCATTCATTTTGCACTGAATTTATACCGCTGCGATTACCTGGAACTGAAACAGAAAAAAAAACACAAAGAAAAGACGAAATTAATTTTTGCCTATTAACGATATACCACTTGAGCCGCTTGACAGCGATCTTTTTCACTTGGGTTTTAAAGTGGAAAATATTCCGTTTGTAATCGATATATAGCAATCAAGTCGGCAGTCGTGGCTGTTGGACGGTGCAATTCCATTGGAACACATGCTTTATCTGGTTTTTCCATAAATATGAATAATGGATAGATAGAACAATAAATCGATAGCAGCCAACAACTTTTAACGATACACCTCGGATATACGGGTATATCGTATTTCAGGTGAATTGACGTGAAACGAGAACTTTTGATGAACGAGTACAGATTATGGAACCACAATAGTCTATTATTATTATATAATCCGGAAAAAAAAATTAATTGGCACAATGAACAACTCAGTCTTTCACTCACTCACTGCCTCCATTCACTTTATGTTTGGCTTACTTTTTCGGAATATATGACAATTAAGGCACTTTAAACTTTGAAAACTGGAAATGAATCCTACTATCCAGGCGAAGTGAGTCAAAGCGAAATGCGGTATCGATTGAGCCAACCCAAAGACCTAGCAAACACACAAACGCAATATGTGGTGGTAGCCAGTCAAAACAACAAAGCATCAAAGGGAATCTATTTCACCACATCAGGTGAACGCCACACATTAATGTAGGAAATGAACACAACACGGAATTTGTATGATTATTCACTGAAATGAATGGCAGAGAAGAGAAAAACAAAACAAAAACTACACTCATTTAGCTTTCTGAGCAGCGAACAAGTATTTTTTGATGTGGAAAGTGAGCGCGCCTGAGGCGATATAGTCTAAGTTGGCTGGTGCGTTTCCGTGGTCGTTATTTTTTCTCGTTGGCGAAAAAAAAATGAGTGCCGCATACAAGAATTAATGTTGTCGTAATTGTGTTGGTCCAGCTGAAATGAACCAAATAACAACGCGAAAAAAAATCGCACACACATACCAAGCAATTCTTAACACAAACTATTCAGAAAATTTTTCTTATTTATATTTTGCTTGGCTTTAGTTTAATGGTTCCGCGTGTTATTTTTTTTTCTCTTTCGATTTTGCTCACTCACGAGAATCATAATGCAAAAAAAAATTATTTTCTTCTCACTTTTACTGGTTCTCAAAAGATGAATTGATTTGACAGGATTTTTCTTTTTTATTTTCTTCAAAACAACGCGTAGAACTTTCCTTTTTTGATTTCTGCTCCCTTGAACGTGAATTCAATGTTTGTGCAATTAGTTTTGTGTGCGCTTGTAGTTTTTCATGACACACGGATGAAAAGAAATGGGAAAAACAACAAATACCGTATAGATTTGGTGTGCCGTGTGCTATAGTTGGCTAAAACGGAGAGAGTTACTGCAGTGAAGGTGCTATACGGTCGGTATAAATTCTGCAACTGAACAAGCATGACGACTGAAAAATACTGCATTGGAAATTTGAGTCGCTCGGCTCTCTATCGACGACGTATTCATTTTCTGTTCTCTCGTTCGCTTGTATTGCTATCCACATTGATTTCGGTGTGTAGAGCATAGCACAGTTTTCCCTTCGTTCACGTTCCGATTGCATAAGAATCCACATCAAGCAATGAATGAGTCGCAGCAATGCGATAAGCTTTCGGTATGAACTGAAGGGGAAATACGTAAACAAACCATTATCGCCGCACTCACTCGTGCTCTCTCACGCTCACTCATTCGCTAGCTAGCTCGCCCGTTCCACCGCCAAGCAAGCACGTTGTGCACGTGTGTACGGTATGGCGAAAGCATCGCTTTAACTGCGACAATTGAAAAATATCGTCTCGTTGAAAATTGAAAGGGGCATTTTCCCCCGTATATACATATATATTATATACAATAACAACGTCATTACATATATGCACATGACACACAGCATTATTATTATGATTTAATGAATTAACTATATGGAACTACAACACATCATAGACTCATGTCACTGGATACGATATTTTCAATATCAGTTGATTTAATAAAACCGAATGAATATTTAAGAGCTCATTTAACGCCAGAAGTACACACACAACGACGGTGACGACGACAATCGTTCGTTTGGTGCTTTGGCGGTGTTGTTCTTGGTGCCGTTTCCATGTTTCTTCGTAGAAAATGCTCCAAACTAATTTTACCATCAAAGTCAGCAGTGACAGAGTTCTCGTGTATATATGGATAGCTCATGTGAAACTGTGTCGGACAAGTTTTCCATAACAGATGTGCAATTTGATGCAGTTTGAAACATCTATAGTATGCCATTTCATTGACATGAAAAAAACTCCATCCTTTGAAATGGCACATCGCATTTTCCATCGATTTTCATCAAGAATCCCATTTATTTTTCCAGCGTAGTAAGACTTTTTTCCCAACGTGTATGTCGCAAATTCGAAAAATGGTATGTGCTTTCACGGGAACGAGTTGATATGTTTTCCATTTTAAAACGAAAAGAAAATCATATTGAGTCCACATAGCAAATCAAATACAACTATTGATTGCCTGGTACGACTCAATGTTAAACAAACTGTTTCTTATCATTCGATTGAACTTTGCCTTTGGATGATTTCCGTACTTTTTGCCAACTGCATCACATTCTTAGGTCGAACAACTTCCCATGATGACGGTTTGACGTCCACTTTAATCAAAAAGTAAGAAAAAATATCAACATTTCAGAGAAAATCAGGGATTTGCGATTGACAAGGGATGTGCGCATATTTTATAGTCTCATGGCAATGTCAAGGAAAATGAACTTGATATTCTTACTGCTACTGCTACTACTGCCACTGTCACTATATATTATTTACACGCATCAAACGATGCAATCCACTCAACTTCAATATAAATGTGATCGATAACATTTTAACCTTTTCCATTTGATTGTTTCCTCGGCTAAGCTATTGTATATACACCCGGAATGAAATCCATTTGCGTTGAAATCAATTCATACAGTGAGTTATAGATGCACTCAATTGTTATGTTTAAAGGTTGCCATTAGAAAAGCTAACTAGTTAACCCAAAGCAGACGTCGTGTAAATCATTCAATTGATATTTTTGTTTGAAGATCCTTAAAAGTCCACTTACTTTACAATATAGATATATGCAGAGATGTATGGCTCTTGTAGAGCAAGACTAACAACCGGCGGAAGTGTATGTCATCAAGCACTATTTAATCGAGCTGGAAATTATTATGTTAAGCACATTTCATTTTCAAACCGTCTATTGATAGTATAGTTGAATTGTCGTGATGCGTTTTACGGAACGTATACGTTCGCTGCATCTGTAAATGCCATCAAAACTGCCAATTTTCCAATGGTAAATATTTAATATATATGTGTCGCTGAGCATAAAAATGGGAATACAGATCTATTACAGCAACAACCGAACATATTGTTCCCTCAAAACGTTACATGAATTTGCATCTAACGCGCGTGTAACATGAGTTGCATTAGAAACAGTATTAGCTCATTTTACACTCGCGTTGGATAGAAATTCATGTGTCGTTTTTAGGGAACAATATTTTATGTTCGGTTGTTGCTGTAACAGATCTGCATTCCCATTTTTATGCTCAGCGACACATATGTATATGCACATGTTAAGTACTTTGCTCGTAAATTGATGTTTCATGCTTCAAACTTCAATTCACTCATTACATATGTATATAGAGATGAAGTATCGCTTATGTATGATTCGTTTGCTTGAACATTTTTGAAGTGGAAACCAAACGAAATGGTAGCAAATTTACTTTCTTTTGGTTGTTTTTTTTTTCTATCAAAGTTTTTGATAAAATACCCATTGCATCGCTTTGAATGAATGCAAATCGTCTAAATTTTAAGCAGAAAAACCCATGACATTTAACCAATGAATGCCAGTGTAATTTCGGTTAAAAGCAACAAAGAACCCGGAATCAACTGACCTCAGTGTCATTCAAGCTTTTATGGTGATAGTTTTTGGCGTGCCTTTGTTTACACTACAGCAAAGCTATTGTTGTGTCATTCTCCTTCCCCATTTTCCTTTTCTGCCGTTCCGATTATACCAATTCCATGTTATACTCATTTCTAAGAAAAGTAAGTGCATTGTTCGACGTTCATTTATTATTCTGTGTTGTACTGGGGCCTATTGTTGTGAGGGTGGCCTGCAGCAAATACTTTGAATGCTTTGACTGCTTTGAGTGGTGTAATATTCCGAGTGTTGAATACAATGGCTTTCAATTTCAATGCATTTCCTTTGGTTGCGTGTCGTGTGGACCGAGTGCGCAATATCATAATCCAACTCCTTCGAAATCCTTGCGCATTAGAGAAAAACACCATCGAATGGAACTGCATTCGGATGTATTCTAAAATGCACGAACACCTGTTCCGAATCCACAATCGGAAAATAGTCCGCTCCCCTCTCTCTCCAGCCAGCCAACATTGCGTCGCATGGGATGATACAATTGAATGAGCGATGCATTGAATCGGAACGTGTTTTTCATTGTGGTTTTATGCAAGAGTTACCTTTATTTTTAAAAATGCATAGACAATTTGAATGGGAGGAAAAGAACCAACTGAAAGAAATTCAAGCGAAAAAAAAACTGGGAAAATTCCAACGATAGCTCTGTGAGATGATGTTGTTCAATGTTCATTCAATCGAACAACTTTGTCTATCGCATACCCAACTCTCCGACGACAATTCGAACCTCACTTGGATGACGCAATATTCATTTTCGGCTACCGGCACTTGCTTTTGCCGATATCCCAATTAACGAAATACCGAAAATTATTCGAATTTTAAGTGAAAATGGTCGGTCGAGACGATTCTAATCAACGTGTTTCACGTAACAAGAACTCAGTTGAGGAGCACTTAAATTTTTGCGATAATCTACACTTGAATATCCCTTTCGAGCCGGTTCAAGTGCAAAATATCTCAGAATCTGAAACATGCTCCATATACATAAAAGAGCGGCACAACGAAACAAAAGACGCTATTTTACAAACGTACATGTGGCAATTCACAATTAAATACTTCAGCACTCAGTATCTCACTCTCTCCCTCTCCTATTTCGTCGCATACTTTCGCACAAAAACCATTTGCCGTATTATGACTGCGAATTGAAATTGGAGCACACGGAGAGAGCACAGTCATTTGAAGTGAATATTTATTGTATAATGCACGGTGTGAAGAATTAATGAGTTATTATTGAGAATTAAAACGATCTGCAGCAGTAAACTGTTTGCTTGAGTGGGGCTGCCGTTTCTCATTAAAAAGTTCAAACAACGAACAAGGAATTTAATTCCAGCTAAAAGGATTTTTCTTGGAATTTTTACGCCATTTTTTGTGTTGCACCTGAAGCGATGAAAGCATTTGTAATCCTCGGCATAACTACATTAGCTTTTTGCTACTCTACGATAGTTAATTTTGCTGTAAAAAAACGCAAAGAATTCTAATTCGGATTAATGTTGATTCATTCCGTTTCATTTTTGTTCTCACATCGGTAGCTGAACTAATCGATGAATGGGGCGAAGATCAGATGGATGTTTCAGGATGTTTGAATTGGCAAACGATCCGATGCGAATGACATATATTTCACCCATGATTTGATTACGGGAAAAAGAATGGATCCAAATTACAATATGCAGCTCATCGACGTAATTTTGCGGCTCAAAGATTTCACATTGCATAAGCACTTGAATAGTACGCAAATTGCATTCTTAACCATGCTTCGTAAATTACTTCAATCGAATCGTGAGATTTTGTACGCATTGGCAATTCCATTCATCAAATTAGAACCATTCGCCATTCGAAATATGGAGCATTTACAAGCGAATAATTAACTTACCGAAAGAGAGGAGAGGGTTCTGTCACGATTACAACAGTACGGTGGTATTGTTGAGAAAATTCTACAGGATTTCCATGCCATTTTCGACGGGACTCAGTTCTATAAGACATCGGACGAATTCGATGTGTTAGTAACTGGAGTAATGGATCACATATGGAGCAATCAAGCAATGAGAAAATTACCGCAGCTCTAAAGGCATTGGAAAATGTGTTTAAAACCAGCATGAAATATAGTGCAACCATTAGAATGGGATCAAAATTAGTGGAATGCCGATTCGAAGCAGAATTATAACAATCGTATCTTGCTCATTGCGAAGCCTGTGCAGCAGCCGGTTTAATTCTAAAATATAATCGAATTGTCGGAGAAAAATTATATAATTATTATTATTTATTGATTTTATAGTCTACTTTGATAAGCCGACTTCGGAATACAGTTGTATAATATCATCAGTTTTAGTTTTCTTTACATAATTGTAGTTGTAACTGAAATTTTAATTTTACTTTTACTTTAATTTAATTTTTTATTATTCAAATGCCATATGAATGGAGCTATGAAAAAATTCCATACACTGATTCAACACCCAGCAAACGCGGCAGATGAGATGATTAACATCAACTTACTCGACGCCCTTGATAAAATGTTATCAGCTCTTAATGACTCACGCATTTACGAAGGATCATTTGAAATAATTGGCAAATGTTCACGAGCCATCGATCACGCACAAGCGAATTTGCCACAAACTCTTTTAGATATATTTCAACAATAGGCAGATTATTCCTCAATGTTGAACGATTCATCACCTTTTTTTAAATAGTAAGTATGTTTTGTATTGATTCTGCTCTGTTTTAAAAGAAAATTCGTGATTGTTCGAAATAAATGCACAAAAAATAAAACGACGTAATCCAAACTTTTCCGCTCCGCAGCAATTTAGTTTACCTCCCGCTTAATGTTTAACCAAAATTTCAATGGACCCTTTTTTCATAGCATTTTTGACCTTAAAATATAACTATTTCGACCATTTTCCATACAAAAGTGTCATTTTCGAACAAAATTTCAAAAATTTCAAGAAATGTTGATTTCGGACCAAATGAAGGTGTTCGGTTGTTTGGAGGCTCCCATTATTTTTCCAAAAAAATATCAGTTTGCTTTGACCAAAACCCAAAAAACTGGCTTTCTGTGTGATTTTTCATACAAAAGTCTATTTTTGGAGGAAAATTTCAAGAAATGTCGATTTTGGACCAAATTTATGGGCAAGTAGGTGTTCGGTTGTTCACAGACTCCCATTATTTTTGCAAAAAAATGGCAGTTTGCCTTGATCGAAACCCTGAAAAATGCTTTTTTCGGGTACTTCCCGTACAAAAAAGTCATTTTTCAAGGTTTTTCACGTCCTCAGTCGGAGGCTTATGGTACGAAATTGGTAAATCAGAATGGGCTCAAAATCAATCCGAAGTCTTGTCTCGACATGCCAAAACTTTTGGCTTTTACAGATCTCAATTATCTTGTCAACTTTTTGAGATAATCGGCGAACAAAAAACGCCATACGAACATCGCTATTTTTCACATTTTTCATAGTAAAGAACATGTTTTTGGAGGCAGATAGGTCTTGATCGATAGGAGTTGTTCCCATCTACATTGCCTAGTGTACAGATATGTGCTTTTTGAAGTTTGGCGTGACGTTATAGTGGTCCGAAAGAGGAGATTTCATGAAATTTTGGCTAGTAAAACCAATACTTTTCCATACAAACAAAGTTTGCGGAATTGTAATGAAATCGACAACTAAACAAATGATTGATATACGTCAGAAAAACTCGCTCAATATTGTCTCTCCATAAAAAGTGTTAGTATGCTTCATTCGATGTGATGATTTTAAAACCACACCGTCGGCTATCGAGTTTGTGATTTTTATTAAAAACACAGATCAACACACAAATAGATTGAAACGACGAGCGAAAGAGGAAAAAAATGTTATTCAGAACGCGACTGCATTGTCATAATAATTGCTATTGCCATCGCAACAGCCTGTTGAGTTTATTTATTTTGCTTTGACAATAATCGCATTGGCAACGTGGACGGATTGTTACCGAACATAGGAATATGTGCGTTTTTTTGACGTCAAACATGTCGCTGGAGGTGAGTGTAATTCAAAACACCTATATATTATCATTCTCGTTTTGCACAATCATCTCTTTTATTCCAATTTTTTTTAAATCCATTCAGGATACAAAGCACTCACCGTTTCAACGGCAACGAAACATTCTGTATTTAATCTCACAATATCTGTCGGATTTTGGTCTGAAGCAAACGAAGTCAATGCTATGGAACGAAGCCAGCTTATCGCCAGAGTGTACAGTTTGTGATAACATTGACTTGGATACGATTTATTTGGACTTTTGCAGCTATTATCATCTGCGATTTGGCAAATTGCCCAAAATACTAAAGCGAATTGAATGTGCATCAAGTGATTCGACCAATGCCAAGGGAAAAGTCAACAAAAATCGAAGCACAGAAAATACAACAAAGACATCGGATGAATGCAAGAAAAAGGCTAAGCAGGAATCATCCGAATTAGGACCAGACGATTTTGTTATCACAAGTTCGATTTCGAATTCAAACGAATCTCATAACGATGATAAGAAGTCGGAAACCAATTCGCTTAAATACCGCAAAAGTTTGGACTTGTTTGAACCGTTCTCTGGAGAGATGCGTGATTTGGCATACGTGATTGAAAGGTTCAGTGAATTGAGTTATCATTTAACAAGTAGTATTAGTTTTTCTTTGGGACATTTCAAAAAATTATTTGTTGAACCAAATCTTCTTTATTCGAATGCTTTTTCGAAAATGTGCCGGCTCATTAGGCTCTACATAAATATGGCATTGTCATTTGTTTGAATGGTGACATAACTTGAATAAGCCAGCTTATTTCGAAGCAGCGCTTATACAAAGAACAGCCAGCCGCTCGCTCCTTAAAAAACAGCACAATGATTAATTAATCACCATTTTTGTGTTTATTCTCGTTTAATCAACTAATCAAATCACCTGTTGTACAGGCAAATCGTGAGGGGAGACAATCACATAAAATGGGACGATGTACAAGGAAATGAGCATGCCAAGCAAACTCTGATTGAAAGTGTCATTTTGCCGTTGAAATTCCCACAACTCTTCACCAAATTAACGAAGCCGTGGAAAGGGATTTTGCTGCACGGAGTTTCAGGCGTGGGGAAAACGTTATTAGCCAAAGCACTCAGCTCGGAAACTTTTGCTACGGTCACCTTTTTCAATATATCAGCCAGCACGCTCATTTCAAAGTGGCGAGGAGAATCGGAAAAATTTGTCAAGGTATTGAAATTGCATTCACTAATGGCATCTTCTCATCATTTTTATCATCTAACCATAGAATTTTTCAATTCATATTTCGTTCGATGCTCTAACCTTAGGTTCTGTTCACAATGGCAAAATCGTGTGCTCCAGCGATAATTTTCATTGATGAATTTGAATCACTCGCTTCGAAAAGAGATTCTTCAAATGACCATGAGGCTACAAAACGATTTAAAAATGAGCTGCTCATCCAAATTGACGACTTGGACTCGAGCGCAGGAAATGTTTTATTGTTGGCGAACTCAAATCTACCATGGTATGAAACAAGTTGTTATTTTTTTAAATCCCTTTGTTCTTTTCTTGAAAGCATAAATAATCTCAATTCCAAATGTACATCATCACAGGGAAATTGATGAGGCGTTCTTGCGTCGATTCGAGCGTAAAATCCTCATTGATTTGCCGAGCTGCGAAAATCGAGCGGACATCATGAATCAATTGCTGCCAACTACGAAACAGTGGTCTGTCAACAAGATGAATCAATTGATCGAAGCGAGTGACGGATTCACGGGTGCCGATTTGAAAATAGCATGCAAAGAAGCGTCAATGATACAAATACGAAACAAATTGAAGTCAAGCAACAAATCGATTCAGATAATGCCAGAAATAACATTCGACGATCTATTGGCATCGATGAGACAAGTCAAACCTTCGATGGCGGCTTCAGCGACCAAACATCGTCAGTGGCACACAAAGTTTGGGAATCAAAGTGATTAACACGATGACTCAAGTATCAGTTAGATGAAATTAGAAATTAAAAATCGGAAGTGTGAATTTTCATTTGTGAATGATTCGGAAAAGTTTATTGTAATTCTTACTCCTGCAGTAACAAATCAAGAAGTCTTAAATTATAGATAAAATGGAGATAAAATCGTTTCACTTTCGTTTCAATGACTTTTTGCTTTGTTGTTGTTGTTGTTGTTGTTTGGCAAGTTTGTGACCTTGGTATAGGCCAGTGTAGTAACCACTCATGTACCAGGACATTAGCATCGCCGAAAAGTGTTCCGATTCGTCGCCGAGTGATTCTTTCAACATGGGTGGCATCGGCGGGATCGGTGGCATGGGCAAGGGACTGTTATGCAAATCATCGTTTCGATAGACTTCTTTGGGATAATTGTAATCTTCACTGTCACCAACTGACTCTTCGACATCGGCAGCTGCTTCCAATTCTTGTTTCTGTTGCTCTTCTTCGCCCCACGAATCTACCAAATCGACCAATCGAACCGATTGCTCATTGTCATAGCCAATGAATTTTACTACGCATTCGTCATTCTCTTCATCGATGCTAATGATTTGCGCCTCGTAATCGATATTGTCCACATCATAGGTGGCTCGCACATAATCACCCACTTTATACGTACCATTTTGATCGGTCTCATCATCAGTACTCATGTACTGCTGCAATGATACCGACCGTTTACTTGTGCCACTCGCAACACCTTCGGCCAACGTGTTGCTTTGAACCAAATCATCATCGGAACTTGTGTCAGCCCTTACGAAAAGATGACGTTCACTCGATGCTGTTTTCTTATTTGTATCGCTTGCAATGCTTTTGGCCACATCGGAATTTTGCAATTTAACTGCCAGTTCGTATGTTTTAATCAACAAACGATCGTCCCAAATCTCATCAATGCTTTCATTTTTAATAACTGGTTTGCTGGCCGACTTCTATCGAAACAAACGGAGAACAATAGACAATTAGCTACATGAAAGTGAAATCATTCCAAAATGTTTGATCTTACCGTGGATTTCTTTTTGCTCATCGTGATGACACTTGTTCAATGTTTAACGCTGATGGAAATTGCTTACGATAAATTTGGTTCAAAATTAACGCAAAATCAACACAAAAACAGTGTGTGTTCAGTACGCACTTTGTTTGATGCAGAACGTTTTGTTTATTTCTTGGAGACACACATAAACGTAGTTTGACAGTCAACAAAAGCATACATAACCTCACTCGTGTACTAAAAAGTACATCACAGCTGATACGACCAATCTCTTGTCTCAAGCACACAGTTAACCCATTCTGGTTATACACACAAAATATGCTTGAAAAATTCAAATATGAAGAAAAAAATCGTTCATTTTTATTTCATTCTTCCTTTTCATTTTAAAATGAACGATTTCATTTGTCAATTTAGAAAAAAAGTTCATGTTCCACTCACGAACGTCCGATTCGCGTGATGAATTTCGGTTGCTCGTGTGTATGTATACATTGATGTTGACCGAGTCGAGTCGAGTCGACACACACAGATAGGGAGATAGAGAGGCGAGTACAACGGTATTGCGGCGCAACCGAATTGACCACATGCAAATTGCGCTGCACGAATCGGCTCACACTATGCTCCGACTATGCTTTGGGCTGGCGTGCTGAAAACAATGCATCTCTTTTCATCATCATGCGATAGCCGCTATTCAGACATTCATCGCAACGAGAGAGAGAGAGTGCCGCATTGTGAGTGCCTAATAAATTCGTGGTAATTTTAGCGGCATTCACTTCACAACGAGATTTCGCATCGAAGACATCACATCAGAACCGACATTTTGTCCACGAAAAAAACGCGCAACGCCATAAATTGCTGCTTTATTTTAACATTTTCGGAATATTTTTTTTATATTGAAAGACTGAATGCGGTTTATAAACAATTAACTTGAACATACGACTTGAATTAAGTGAATATTAAGACAGTTGAACGTGGTTCTGTGCGCGGAAAGAGTTTTAAAAGAATAGTGAATAAAAAATCTATCAAACTGACGAAAGCAAACAAGAAGCCATCTAAAGAGAACAATTCTCAAATGGGTGGTCTAATGAATTGGCTGAAAAAGTGAGTATTTTTATTGATTGGACATTTTTTCGATTGAGATTCAATGATTGTGTTGTGATTAAATTGGAAACAAGTGTGTTTTTTTCTTTCATTTTGCGTTATGAGCGTGTGTTCTTTTTTCATCGGCACATTTCAACGCTTTAAATGTTCATACAAAGTTTGACATAAAAATCCACTTGATTCCGTGCGTTTTTTTTTCAACATTGCACAGTGCAAAACTGTTTTGAAAAACGAGACACACAATTGACCAGTCGCACCTGTTAATTTCCGGCTACATTTCGCTACATATTTCTCAAAGCTGTAAAACCATCCATGCCATCATGACTGAAAGACAATAGGGAAAAAAGTCTATTTGCTTGCATTCTCATGCTTCGTTGTTCGACCGCTGAGATTCGGCTATACCGTGTTTGTTTTTGTTTGTCTGTGTGTGTTTACGTGCACAAATTCCCATTTCATTTCGGTCGGTGTTGTGTTGAACGTACCGTATGGCTCTAAAATATGATAGTGCCACGCACTGATGCATGATTCCGTTCCATATTTCACTCTCGTTTGCACACACAAAACGCATTTAAATGACCATTTAGCCGAACAAAAACAAAACAAAAATAGAATCAAAACGTTGATTCTATTCCAACTTAATACCAAGCCATTCATATTCGTATTCATGTGGCGAAGAGAAAGAACAATCAATGCAATAAATATGAGTTGTTGTTTGGTTATAGGGGCATTGCACTTGCGTTAGAAGTTTTCTTCAGCGAAAGATGAACACACTATCAATCGAGTTGAGATACTCATAAGCAGCAAACAATCGATTCAATGTGTGACATTTTCGTAATTCGCACGAAAAAAACATATCAAAGAGTCAAACTTGAATGAAAATCCCGCGCATTTCATTTGTTATCGTTAGCAACGTAAATCGTCTTAATAGCCGAGAAAACAAATGGAACATTCCGAATTGAATGTGAAAAATTGTGACGTCCATTGAGTTCACTTTTTTTCTAAATCTCATTTTGCATACTAAATTTCTGAAAGAAAAATGTGTCCAATTATTCATGTATTCAATCCAATTTCAAATTGACTCATCCCCATTCATTTTTTGTTTGCTCTTTTTCTCGGCACATTCCCACACACACACACTCTGGACGATGCAAACCAAACCAAACGACAAACGCACACGCACTTTTCGTTAGCAGAGACGGTTCAAAGCGAACGCGCCGTCGAGAAAGTGCACCGCTTCAAATGTTCGCGAAACAAAAACCAACCAGCGAAGAGAAACTACGCAATAGTTTGATTCGTTTCACACAGTTTCGTGAGCATCAGCGCATAGAACGATTGTCGATGGGCGCAAATGAAGTAGCTGCCTATCACACAATTTCGGGTGATGCACCGAATTATACCGATGGAAATACAACGCCAACGGAACAAAACCATGTCGCATACCAACCACCAAGTACCTGCCCGCCAAAACCGTATCGCAGTCAAGGCATTCCAGAGAATCGCAATGAAAGTACACAGCCACCGTACAATGGCCGTCGAACAAAAAAGATTAGCGTTCAGTTTCACTTGGGCGAGGGCACCGATGACAGTGATATGACTTTGAACCATCGTAACTCGCGACATTCAATGCCTGCCATTGTAACAAATGCATACGTGCGCGGAATGCGACGAACACAGAATTCCATTGACTCAAGGACGATTCGAGAGGAGGCGATTGAAGAGTTTGAAGAAGAGCACTGCATGTACAACAGTGACAGTGTGAACGACGACCAGACGAGCTATCGAAGTCCGCCGATGAAATTTTACAAACAGAATCTCAATCCATATCCAAGCAACAGTGAGACTTCATCACTGAGCACACTAGCTGAGGCGCTGCCGATTCGGGGAACTTGCCCCGAAAAACCAAAGCGATTACTGTTAAACAGCAAACAGTCCCGGAAATTACTAACCGAAGCCCATTTCACCGGTGCCTATCGGAATTTCGAAATTAAATCACCTTATTACTCGGACAGTTCGTCGGTGTTTAGTGCGGTGGAGAAGCAAAACCATGCTACGACCGATACGGGGAGCGGTTTGAATGGTGACAATGCATCACAATTGGATCACTATCAAGTCGTTGTGAATAAGCATGGGGATGAAGTTGAGTATGCATTGCCATGTATTGATCTGCCACAGTACCAAAGACGACAACAATTAACTGATTGTTTTAAATCTGACGACTCGACACTGGCCGATGAAGTTTTTGATACAGATCCAAAGGAGTTTGTCCGTATTTTAAGTGAAAATTTCGAAATGGCTTCGAACACATCGCATTCGGTGCATGAGGAAGAGCTCATGCAGGGAGAGTATCATCGGACGAATGGCAAGGTTATGATCACTGATTTGGATAAGTCTATCGATAGTGCACACACATTCGACGATTTGGAAACGGTCTCGCGAGCTGAACGCATTAATGAGGCCAATTCACAGATGCGAACACCAAATCGAGTGCTACAATTCCATGAGACAATGCAATGCGCTGATATCATTTGTTTGATCAGCGAATTCAATTCAATGGGCCGAATGGAGGTCCAAATTGAAACACCGCTACATTTTGAATGGGGTACTTTCAAAAATGCCAAAGTCACTGTTCGTAAGTATGCCGATCTAAGCAATGATGATGAAGCAAATAAGGATTTTGCACTCATCGCCGAAACGGCCATCATTCGTGATGCTGAAGTGTTGAGGTAAAGTGCTTTTTTCGATAACTTTTTTCGGCTCTGAGATTTTCTGCACACATTTCGAGTGAATAGATTTTGGAATAATGATTTTTGTTTTCGTTCTGTCGCATAGGAAAATCCGCCATCCAAACATCATCAACTTGATGGCGATTGCATTTGAGCCATTCAAACGATTAGCTCTCATTATGGAACCAACGAGGCATTCCTTGAATCATCATTTGTTTGCTAAGGTAAGAAACAATCGAAACAAATAATCCATATTCATTTCAGACATCATTGATTTATATCGTTTCAATTGGCAGAACGAGCAATTGGACCTGATCGAAGTGGTAACAGTGGTGAAACGAATCGCAGGGGCCATTTCGTACATGCAAGAGTTTGGAATATCCCATTCGAACATTTCATCACATGCGATTTTGGTTGGAAACACTGTGACTCAAGTCAAATTGACATCATTTGAATTGGCTGTTCCATACAAGTCCGACATTCAGGATGAGGTCGACTTGAAATCCAAGCAAAAAACCAAACGAGTGCCATCAATTCGCCCGAAACGTTCACCAAAGCAGTCATTAAGCTCCGAACAAAAAATCGAACGATACAAGCAGCTTACAAGTCAAGTCGTGTTCAACGAAGATGGATTAGAGTCCACTTACACTGTGCCATTTATACGTGAGATTAGTACAAAATACTTTCCCTATTCCACTGAATATCGTCGCAAATTGGCAATATTTAACTATCAACCGCCTGAATTACTCTCACAAGACGAACAATTTGTCTTTCCGACGAAACAATCGGATACGTATGCATTGACACTCCTTTTATGGGAGTTGCTCAATAAATGCATTCCGTTTGTGATTTATGACGAAACCAAATTGGATGAGCTTCTGAAATCGAACTATCCGCTGAAATATTTGCCAATCGTTGAAGAGGAGCGATGCCAACGTTTCCATGAAATACTCGAGCGAGGATTGAAACGTGAACCAGCAACGCGTATCGATTTAGCGAAAATGATTCGGAAATTAGAAGCCATCGAAACGGAAATTTTACGGGGAAATGAGAATGATCACGGTACAATGAAGTGTTGTTGTTTAAAGTCGCAGAAAAGCAAAGCTACACAACGACAACAACCATCCGTTCAAGAGAATACATTGAAAGATGATACAACACCAGATAAGTCGAACAGTAAACAGTTTACGGCAATCACTTCACCACCAGTCGCGGCTTTGTCAACGCAATCGGTGGAGAAAAATATGTCACCGTTGAACAATGTGCATCGCAGCATTTTAGATTTTAATCGCCTTCTTTCACCACGACGCGATACAAACGATGAAACAATTTTGCGAACGAGTACGCTTAAAAAGAAGAAAAAAGTGCCGCCAACCAAAAGCAACAAGCGCAATGTTCGAGATTTGTTTGGCGATGATGTGCCAGCCACGGACAATAAGCACAGCGACGAATTGAAAGCGGCCGTTCTCACCGCTCAAGACTCGGAGCCGTTCTCGTCGACCGGCCGGCCGTCGAATGAATTCAACAATGCCATCTTTCAATCGGCCATTTCGAAGGATCTCGAATTCACGAATGTGGAAGAAGAGGAAGAGAGTATGAAAGAGAATAGGCCGGCGAACAAGAAGATTGAACAGCCATTCGGGCCGAAAGAAGTGAGTAATTCCAATGAAATGGTCGACACAAAAGTATCGTGCCCGAATAATAGCTACCAATTCATCATTGACGACTATCAATTGCCACAGGAGTTGATTGCACGGAACAATAAAATTCGACGTTGTACTTGGCTATCGTCGGATCAAGTGAACAATACGCAATTGCAGACCAGAAACGAAGATGCGTTGCTTCCAACACTGAACGAGAGCAATGATAGTAGCAAAAAGATGAATGTTAATATTAAAATTGTGCACAAACAATTGACACCCACGAAAAATACCTCACGAAATGATTCGATGAAGTCGAATTGTTCAACGGTAAGTGCAATGAGTGCGGCCAGTAGCGAAGATGAGTTTTCGGTGAAATCACGCATCAAGTTCTTCCGTTCGCTGGAAAGTCAACCGGTTCAACGGAGAACGCCGAACAAAAGTAAAATGAATATGAGCCGTCGTTCGGAGATGTCATTCAATGAGGTTAGGAAAGCCGCTGAAAAGGCACAACGACACACATATCCATCATCGAAACAGCCGACCGAAAATCTCAATCAACAGCTCATCAAAGAAATCACCGATATAACGGCCGACATCAAGAATTGCCTGTCGCAGAACAAGTATTTGAGCGAGAAAAAGGCCGACCAATCGCAAGCAAATGAGAATGAAATCAACAATTTGCTGAATACCAATTTTAGCGAGGCCGATGAATCAATTGCATTGCTGATCGATGATCTTTTGAATGAGAAACATTTGCTTGATGAGAACGCTAAAAATGAGTCACTCAACGAAGAAAACGAAAAACGGAATTCAGTTCGTGAAACAGTTCAGAAGTTTGAGTCTTCGTTGCGCAACGAAAAGAACGACAGTAGCTTCTCATTTCAAAAGATTGAGAATAAATTGCTAAACGAGAAGATTTTCAACACAAATGTGAAATCGGACAAACGAAAAACGACGGAATTTTTCGGCAACAAATTGAATGAGGTGACAAATGAAAAAATCGAAGATGTGATTCGGTTTGAGGTACCATCCGAAGTGGATAACGAAGCTGGAGCCCAATATCAAGCGTTTGAAGAGACAGGAGAACCGATTGCAGGTAAGAATTTTGGCAATTTTTTTTCATTCAATCAAGCTTTCTATCAACTTGTTTCCACCAGTTATCGATTGAAACAAGCCTACAATCATTTTGATTCCCTTTTGTCGCTACAGAGACTGGAAGTCAGCAGTCGCAAACGTTGATAAAACGCACTTTCTATCAAGAGAGCATAATTTCGGGTTCAAATGTTGAGGTGCCAGAACTGCAATCTCTGCTTGCCAATGCACCCACGGTCACATCGGTAACCAGAAAATCGTCGCTAACGACCAGAGTCACGCTAAACATGCGGAAATGCCGACGACGTTCATCTGATGTTGGGTTAATTGCACAGAACTCGCAAAATGGTGATCGAGCCGGTGACATTATTGGCTCATCAAACATGGCTGAAGTACGCCATTCGATCTGTGGCAGCCCATTGCCGTTTCTAATGCGAAATAATTCAGTTGATACGACTGCAGCCGGTCGTAGGCTTGAGCAAATGACCGCTGAAAAGCTGCACATGAACCAGGCCACTGGAAGCAGACTGTCCAACGATCAGCTTCAGTCATCCGTCTGTTCAAGCGTTTTGACCGGAATCTTCAACGGAAAAGTAAGAATCGGATTCGATCTTTTTCTCCCCGTCTTTTAAGGTCACATTTTTTGTCGTTCAAATCTTATCACAAATTCTTATCTTTGACAGCAAATACAATCCATCGAAGATTTGTACATCGATGATGATTTTGGTGGAATAAGCCTAGCTGCGAATATGAAACTAATGACGAACTCAACGGATTCGCTCGATAACATCAATTTTGATGTGATTGCAACACACATTTTCGAGCAGAATTCCGAATCATTGATGACGACCACAAATAATACACTACTGAATACAAATTTGAACGCCATCGAGCAAGGTGAAGACAAAAATGACGCTACAGCTGAAGAATAGTTGAATTTTTTACGGAGAAAGATGTATAAAATAGTAGAACAAATACGTGTCATGCTAACAATTGAAAAAATTTAAAGGAATACGACATAAAATGAAAGCAAAGAAAACTAATTGTGTAGAAGCTGAAAACGAAGACAAGATTTCCACAAGAAATTTGCATGAACACATCTCTCTATACAGGGAATAAATAGTAAATAAATAGAATAATCAGTCATCCAATTTCGATTTCGTTTCAATTTATTAGTTTAACTCAAAGTAAAAATCATATAAATTGTATTTAAATGTCTAGATATCTGAAAGATCTAAACATTTTTCAATGGTTTTTTTTTCGTATCACATCATTGCAAAATCTTCATCCAATCATAATTTCCTTCGTCGTACATTCGAAAATGTAGCTAATTCTATGCATATGTCAAAGACGCAATTGAGCGTGGATCTAATCGAATTTCATAGGAACCTCTTAGGTCATCTGTAAAGTCAATTATACGGAATTTGTCAGAGCGATTGTATAAAATAATGGTGATCGTATTATCAGGACATAAAAATGCTACAGTTTTGACATTGCTTGCACGAAATCCATTCAAATTTGCCTCAATTCGCACTGAACCAGTCGGTATGAACTTTGAGAAATGACCTAAGACATAAAAGATTGGCTGTTTGTAGATTTCATTTTTGGTGGTTGAATTCAGTATAACGGCAGCGTCAACAGTGTTATTGATGTATGTGGGCCCACCACTTTCGTTCAATATGAGATTCCAATCGATCCAACCAGCAACATGGTGCTGTAAATCTTGAATAATTCCCAACGCATATCGTTCGGCACGTGACCACGAGCCCAAAACTGGACCATGCACTTCAAATGGTTTGTCGCCAATACACGATTCAGTGTTTAGCATCATTTTGTCTGGATATTTGTTGTATGTTTGGTCGAGCATGAATGGCGATATGAGACGATCCCAATACCAGTGAACAGCCAAACCAGACACATAGTCCATGGCTTTTGGAGATAAGCGATTCAGACGGTCAAACCACCATGGGAAGGTGTATCGTTGATCATCGCCAGCAAACAATTTTATATCACGAAACTCGGAGTTGTTCAAATTTGGGCCCAGATTTTCACCAATCCACTTGCCTTGATTCTCGGGTAGCCAACCTGTTTGGAATGGAGATGAAAAAGAATTGTATGGTTTAAGCTACTTTGAAATTCTATTTCGAACAATATCTGGATGTTCATTTTCTCTGTGATAAGATACAAGTATTGACCATTGTTTACAAATCGGTATTGGTGTCTCCCTTACCTAAGCTCATGAAATGAATGAAAAACCATCCAATTTCTCCATTCAGCGGTTCATTGCCGGTCGATAGTCCCCACAGCGTCATGTTTTCTGCGGCCATCAATGAAAGAAAACGCAAGTGATAGTCAGCCCATGTTTGGTAGTATTCTGGCTTTAATGCATTCCGTCCAGACCACTGGTTGTTCGTCTTCATCCACTTCGGCGATGACCATGCCGTGCCGATCAATTTGATGTCATCGATTTGTGCCACTTTCTTCAAGTCATTGATCTGTTCGTTTCGCCGCAGGTCGCGTGCATCTAGTTTCGTGAAATTGGATAATTTCTGATCGTCAATCGGCTGTTCGTTGTACGCCCAAGGCCTTAGATCAAAATCGCATCCTAATGGGAGAGCAGAGATATTTATTATTTATGGAATGTGCAAATACATGGTTGCATGTACATTTTTGAATAAAAAAATGGTAGTTTTCAATTTAAAGAGCATAAAATCCTGTTTCAAATTATAGCCTTAATGTGAAGCATCAATTGATATTGGCACGTCCCGAAGCAAAGAACACTTTGAAGCAAAAATTGTCTAATGTCTAAATATTGAATTAGTATTATTGATGTGAACCGAGCCTTATGACATTTGACGTTCATTCCATTGGTTTTCGAAATGTCATAATGTCATAATCGCCGGTTTGCTCATACCGAGAACACATTTGGCGTTGTAAACACCAAGTCAACAAATCAATCGTACATTTCATTACAATAAAAACTACAGCAGTGTGAATTCCAATTCAATGTTTTAATTTTCCTACGGTTTCGCTTATAATTCATATTATTTTCGATACACGTGCGTTTTGTATCAATTTGATCCGGAATATCCGATTGTTGAATTCAAGTGACTTGAGTGTGCGTATACTTAATCATTTTAATGTCTTCTTATTGTGAAATTCATTTTTGTTTCATAGCACGTAATATAAGCCATTTATAACGTGAAATATATTTAAACGAGTCTAATAATTATTTAACGTTTAACATTTGAACAGTAATATTACATTTTATGGAAAAAATAATGAATTTCACAATAATTTTGCAGTACATAGTTCTGTTACATGTGATGGTGAAATACGTGTGATGGTGAAATTCATTTTATGCAATGAATTGAGTCCATTGTTCGGAGAAGAGAAACAGTTAATCGATTACTGTTCGAACTCAAATTGAATCAATGCCATTGTTATCAAACCGAAGTCATTTTTGTGTGTCTCATTCTGTTGTCATTTTCAAACTAAATCGAATTTAAGTTTCAATATTATTCGTTTTCAAACTAAATCGAATGTGTGTTTTTTTTCTTTCAGTAGGACAATGGCGAATCGTTTCAAGCCATCAATACCAGCGGAGGGAGAGACGAAAGATGAAATTACGACGATCAAATGTGCGCTAAAGACAATCATTCGCCCACAATACCAGCAAGCATTGATGAGCAAAATAACGGATCTGAGTTTGCAAGCCACTTCCATTTGTGTTTTGGGCTCATTGCTGTTCTTGTTTGAGGTGCAAAAGGCGTTCGAATATAGGCGTCGAGAACAATAATTTCGCATTGTTTGGTGGAAGTGGAGAAGATAAGATCAAACTCTGCTTTGAACAAGTGCTATGGCACAACAATCAGCCACCAAAACCGAAGTCAAGGTATAAACCAAGAGGAGAAAAGCCACGAGGACCACGAGCAGAGCTGCCACGTATCGATCCTGAATTCAAGGCAATTGTCGAAGGTCTTGACGACTATCATCGTATCGATTGGCCCAACAACAAAGATTTCAGCAATGGCCTTAAGCATTTGACAAATCAGTACACAGATAACGTCGTCACCAATCTTGAAACGCATGCTAACAAACACATCACCCAGTACTTGGTACTGAAAGTGTTCGAATTGAACTCAAACTTGGAAGAGGATGGAGAGAAATTTTTGCCAAGTGACATCGAAAATGTTGTCAAGTTGATCATCAAGCAAAAAGATATCAAAGTGCCAAGTCGCGATCCAAACAAACTTGTACGGTGTGAGGTGTTGTATGATATCGTGAGAGATTGCAATGTGTTCCCAGAAATCGATCTGCATGACCTTACAACTGACCCAAAACATTGGTATAAGGCCATGCCAATGTACCTATCCATGCAACGTGAGATAGAAGAATACCATGCGATGTGGCCTCATCAACACCGATCGAAACGGAAGAAACGAAAGCGCAAAAAGACAAAACGAAAATGGAAACGCAAGCGCAGACAAATGCTCGACAACCCAGATTTTCGGCCATTGATTCGAAATTTAGTAGTGGTGCCGATGTGTGATTTCCGGCGTACGCACTTCAAAATCGATTGTACATCCATGCGACAGGTGTTGTCTTCGCAAAAATTGTTGCCGAAAGTGGAAATTGAGAATAAAAAAGGAACAACAAGCACAACAATTATTCCAGAAAAGGATTTCAACCGGGACAGAGATTATTGGTGGAATCAGTATTTTTACATGCGAAAAATTCGACGATTCGTACGTGCCAAAAAGCAGTTTGACTTTTCCATAAACACCGATGGAATCTCTGTGTCTCTCCAGTACTCGGCCAAAAAGAAGACAGACAACAAAGAAACCGACCAAAAATCTCGCATCATTCAGAAGATTGAGGATGGCACAATCAACAATTTTTCGGGCGTTGATACAGGTGTGCGAAGTTGGAATACCACAACAACACACGACATTGAAACTGGCAAAGAAGTAAGTTTTGTATACATTTGAATAAGTTGTGTGTATTTTAATAGAAAATGCTTAAGTGCCAAAACTCAATAACTATACCTTTTTTTTCTATTTATTTTTTCAGACCAACTTTGTAATGTCGAGCAAGCAATTCCACTGGCAAACAGGTCAAAAGGTGCGAAATGCCAAAGCAAAGCGATGGACCAAAAATTTCGTCGAAATGGAGCGCGCAGACAGAGAAAACCGTGAGCTGTATCCAGTGATGCCGTCGCCAAAAGGGTCAATGTGGCTGAACTATATCAAACATCGAGTCAAGATGATGAAGCATGGAATCTGCGCTTACTCAACTGCCAAATACACTCGACTCGCCTTGGACAAACACATCAAGAGCAGTAGTGTTGTCGACGAATGGGTGAATAAGGTGACCGATAAGAAACCGACTCTGTTCTTTTTTGGTGCTGATGGCGAAGTACCACCTGACAGCAGAATAAGTATAAAGAAACATGTGCGGTGCCCAGGGGTTCGTTTGACTTTGAGGTCAATAAAGAAGCGCCGAGATTGTTTCATACAATTGGTGGACGAATGGGGAACATCTCAAACCGACGCAAGATGTATGAATCGATTCCAAAACCAGAACAAAGCGGCCAGATTCAAGAAATGCCGATGCGTACCCGACGCCAGAACATTGCTGCCAACGAAAATTGTGTCAAAGTTGGGCAAAACGGATCTATCGATCTACCGACAGTTACAACGTGCCATGAACGAAGAAGCATCGGAAGAAGACGAGTGTTTATTCCCAAAAGTAAAATGTTACTACAAAAACTGGCGATTAAACCTCGAATGCTCTGTGATTTGGCATCGTGACGTCGTGGCTGCTAAGAACATTCTACTGAAAGGTAATACTAATTGACGCACAATTTCGATTGAATGATTTTTTAAGAAGGTTCATTTGTTTAATCGTTCAGGACTATGGACATTACTGGGACTTCCGATACCAGAGGCGATCAATAGGTATTGGCGCGAAGCTGCTGAAGCAGCCGCTGTTGTTGCCGCTGCTGCTGCCGCTAGAGCAACCGCTGAAGCAGCCGCTGCTGCTGTCGCCATCGTGGATAATGATGTAGAAATGTTCGAGTACGACCAGCAGCCAGCTGATCATGCTGTCTAATCAGCACATTGCAAACAAAAAAAAAAAAACAAATGTAACATTAGTTATTAAAGGCTATCCCGATCATGTGGGATAGTTGCGTTGAAGCAAGTTGACTCCCCATCTGGTTGATGTTAACTGCGCAGGAGTACTTTAGTGGGTGTTTTTAGGTAAGCATTATTCGATTTTGCAAAGAGTTTTTTGCTTCGGGACGTGCCAATATCAATCGATTCTTTACATAAATGCCATAATTTGAAACAAAATTTTATGCTCTTTAAATTGAAAACTACCATTTTTCTCTTTTTAATTTCAGGAAAACACCCTAATGTACATTTACCTCCGATAGGGATGCGCATCATTGAATAAGCGATTCCCTCATCCGGCGAATAGTAATTGCGATAAAGTGCATGCCTCAGCGATTCGGGCATCAAGTCAAATAAATGCGATACGCTCCCGGTGAACGCTCCTCCAAATCCAATAATTTTCTGATACTGTTTGTCTTGATCAACAGTGAGTGTGATTGAAGTAAGCCACGATTTCATATCCTGAGTCACATTCCGCTTAATGCCAATCAAATCTGGAAAACGTTTCACTCGAATCACATTCGGTTCCAGTGGCTTTGGTTGGAAACGTCCCTTCGACACATCGAACCGTTTGCCGGATTTTGTCGATGAAACCAGTATAAAATCACCAAATCTCTCCGGTTTTTCCACATCCATCGTATCGCAATAGGTTTCATTGCACACACAAACATATCCATCGGGATATTTGCGCAGTTGACATGGCTTCAGAACACATTGCACGGTGTTCAACACAAAAAACCACAACAATAAAAATAACAATTTGCTCATCCTTTGTCTTGTAATTGCAGCAACAAACAGGTACCAACTAATTCACAGCGCAACAATCACGCTTCTTATATCCAGAAACTGAACACAGTGTGTTCCATTCTAAAAATAGATTCCAAAGGAAAACCGATAAATTGATTTATTTTGTTTTCAGATTGATAGATAACTCTATAATATTACCTCAACAGCAAATTGTAAATAGTGATGACGATGATGGTAAACCAATTGAATGATTTCGATTCGATTAAGTGCTTTAACTTCTGATTAATCGCCTTATCAATTTGAGGGAAAAAAATCAGCAAAAGATTTAAATGATACGTTAACAACTTGCAATTTTGAATGTAAACAAACGACTTTCAAGTGCTTCTCGTGTCATAAGATCTATCACTGTTGCGATAGTTTCCAATCGAATGGGTTTATTGTTGTTTTCTATTTACGACTAGTTCAATGGAATAACAGGTAAACACTACGCACAAATATGGGCATTGGAAAATCGAAACACAAGAAAAAAAAAAGTAATCGCAACGAAGAACACACATTTGAACCGCATAGCCGAACTGTCATCGCGCACAAATGGGTGCGTTTAATATGCCATGTGTACTAAATGTCAGTTATCAATTGACAGATGCGCAAAGCATGTACACTCGTTAGTTTCAACACCAACAGTAGAACAACAATTGGAGTCGGTGTCGTGTTTTGACTCTCAACATCGACCGTTTCCAAATAGAAATTGAATTTACAAACGTTTTGGATTGAATAGAGTGGCCAACATGTTAACCAACAAAATTTTTATGCGGAAAACCAAACGCGGCAATATTCTCAAGGTAAATAAAAAACATGTTCATTGATTGAGGTTAGAATGAAATACCAAAAAATCAAAATATTGTTGATTTGCATTGTTTTAGATTGTACGCGAGCATTATTTACGCGATGACATTTGGTGTGGATCATCGATTTGTTTGATGTGCGAACATCGAGCACATGACAAAGTTTTGGATGCTAAACCCGAATCACCGAATCCAAATTATCCGTTTCCACATTATCTGGTGTTGGACACAAATGTGGTGCTCGATCAAATCGATGTGTTTGAAGAGGAAGTGCTTTGCAACATCATCATTTTGCACACCGTTTTGAATGAAGTGAAACACAGGAGCTCAGCCGTGTTCAAAAAATTGCGCAACATCATTTCGGATCAGACGAGAAATGTGTACACATTTGTCAATGAGCATCACAAGTGAGTTGAACCGTTGGCTGAGTGTTTTTTTCTCTGAATTAGTTTCATTTTATCGGAAAAGTTTGAACAAAAATCATATTTGGCATTTCACAGAGACACTTATGTTGAACGACAACCGGGTGAATCGGCCAATGACCGAAACGATCGAGCCATTCGTGTTGCCACCGCTTGGTATGAGTCACATTTGAAGAAGAGTTTCGAAAATGATACAAAACTTCGTGCGATTTTGCTGACTGATGACAAGAAAAACATGGAAAAGGCACGTGCCGAAGGTATTTTATGCAGCACTGTCGGCGATTATGTGCGTGGTCTCGACAAGTATCCAACATTGCAAGATAAGCTGTCGTTGAAGGGATTCTCGAGTCAAGACAAAAAAGTCGCCATTTTCCCGCCACATTTAACCGTTAATGAGATTCACGAGAACATCAAAAATGGCAAATTAGTGCAAGGTTCGTTCGCTGCATCGCGTGAAAATTACCTTGAAGGATTTGTCAATGTGGAAGGAATGGAAAAATCGGTTCGTATACATTTGAAGTACTAGTTTACAGTTTGTTGATGAATAAATTCCGATTTGCCATTCTTAGATTTTGCTGCAAGGCCACGAGGGTTTGAATAGAGCTGTTGACGGAGATATAGTAGCGGTCGAATTATTCGACGAAAATTCATGGAAAGCACCAAGTGAGATGATATTGCAAGACGATCAAGAAGATCAAGGCGATGTGTTGGAGCAGGTAAACCTGCCAGCAATGGAAGTGGCCGTCGAAGAGAAACAGCCAACCGGCAAAGTGGTGGGTATCATTCGTCGAAAATGGCGTCAATATTGCGGTATCTTGCAACTCAACCCAATTCCCGGTTCCACGCGGCACATTTTCGTTCCTGCCGAACGTAAAATCCCAAAAGTTCGCATTGAAACACGTCAATCCGAACAGCTAAAAATGCAACGAATCATCATTGCGATCGATCAATGGCCACGGCATTCACGCTATCCCCAAGGCCACTTTGTGCGTGCACTCGGACCGTTGGGCGATAAGGAAACTGAAAACGAAGTGTTGCTACTTGAGCATGATGTGCCGCACAGTAAATTCTCGAAGGAGGTACTTAGTTTTTTGCCATCATTACCATGGACAATTACCGAAGAGGATGTGGCCAAACGTGTTGATCTGCGTCACATAACCATTTGTTCAGTCGACCCACCTGGATGCACAGATATCGATGATGCTCTGCACTGTCGAGCATTGTCGAACGGAAACTATGACGTTGGCGTTCACATTGCGGATGTGAGTCATTTCATTCGACCCGGAAATGCACTCGACAAAGAGGCTGCCTCCCGTGCAACCACTGTTTACTTGGTGGACAAACGTATTGACATGGTGCCAGGTTGGTTTCTGAAAATTATATACATGCAATTTCCTATTTTAATCCTAATTGTCATTCTTCTACAGAGCTGCTCAGTTCGAATTTGTGTTCATTGCGTGGTGGCGAGGAGCGATTTGCTTTCTCATGCGTGTGGGAAATCGATGAAAATGCCAATATTGTCAATACGAAGTACCATAAGAGTATAATCAAATCGAAGAAAGCGATGACGTACGAGGAAGCACAGCTAATCATCGACGATGAGACGCAACAGCATGACATTGCCGAATCACTCAGAGGATTGAATCGACTAGCGAAAATCCTGAAGAAGAGACGTATTGAAAAAGGGTAAAGCACCATTTTACATATTCCCTTTTTGCTTCG